TATATGTATAGATATTTATATATATACATAATATATTTATATATATACCTAATATATATATATATATATATATATATATTATATATTATATATATCGGTAGTGTGCGCGTGTGTGGAGTGTGAGCATGTTTTCGTCTATCTTTGATATAGCAAATAGGATATATATACTCATCTGTATGTGTCTATATCCGCTTTTATTTTGTATTAACATCAATGCAACCATTTTTAACGATCGAGTGCGGTATTGTTCTTCAAATATTAGGTGCGTGAACAAGAAAAGAAAGCAGCCGACGAGAAAGGAGGGGTAAAAAAACAGAGTCAAAATAAGAAACCCAAACCCGAGATCACCCTAGATCCTCGGCAAACCGAATTGGATTTCAAACCGAAATCAGCTACAAAACACGACACCAAAAGTGCATCTTTTACTACCAAAAGCACTGATGGCCGCAACAGCAATACACATGCGCACAATGAGATAACAGTCGGTACTAAACAACGCGACCCACTTGTATATATTAAGGAGGGCGGAGATAGAATCAAAAAAGATACACACAACGTAGCCATCCGGCAGGGGAAGGCAAATGATGTGAGGGACGGTATCACATACCTTGGTACCAGTACGGGCCCGAGGACTCTGGGGGCAGATAATTATTTAGGTAGACGTAAGGGTGCTAGGACAGACAAGGGGGTAGATAAAGTGGCAGGGATAACTTTGGGTATAAGTAGCGGAGGTAGGATTAGTTCAGGCAGAGGTAAAGTGGCTGACATGGGGTTGAGTTTAGCTAAGGACACCCACCGGAGGGATACGCAGGCAGGTATTAAGGGGGTACCAGGCAGGAAGGTGGTGGAAATAATCAACCTGGACAGCAGTGACGATGAATGTGTGAGCTCTTGGCGGGGGGCAACTGAACGGCACACCGCAATGCCTGAGCCACACACCACACACACAGGCACTACAAATACAAACACCTCTACCATGGATAGAACATCACAGCGACCAATTGAAGATATAAATTCGTTCACTGAGCATAACGTGAACGGGACAAGTGTATTTCCGAACTCTGTTCCAGCGTCAGAAAAAAAACCTGCCAAGGCCGTCAAGACGTCTTGGGGTACAGGGTTTGTCTTGGGAAAGTGCGAGGAGCTACAGAAGACGAGTTTTGGCTGTGACAAAGCGTGGGTCAATCTTAGTGGAAGGGTAAAAAACATGGCAGGGATATGCATAGACAACAATGAAACAGCAGAGAGTTCCTCGAAAAGTGATGGAACGGTAGACAGGAGCACAACTTCCAAGGGCATGAAATCAATAGACAGGAATACTAAGGACAGCACACTTGTGGGTATTAATTACGAGTCGCGCCACACCAAGGGTACTTGCACACACGCCCGACACACAACTGTGGGTAGTGTCAGCTGCAATAATTTAAACGACACATCTCGGTTTAGTGGTGTTGACAAAACGACGAAGTTGAGTAGCCAAGTCGATGTAGGCGGCGAGGGAAACGTTAGCGATCAGAGCTCTGTAGACAGTAGGTTTCCAGCTGACAGTACGGCTCATACAAACAGACAGACTGATATCAATGGTATCGCACACGTAGGAAGTAAAGCACATACACACTGTAAGGCTAATTTAACTGTACCCGAATTGTGGGGTGTGAAAGTACCGAATAATGTGAATGAAGCTACGACGAGACGGTCTGAGGAACTAGTGATGAGCGTTGCCATGGTGACGCGAGCGAGAGCGGCGGAGTTATTGGCGGAGTGCGATGGGAGTGCAGAAAAAGCTATTGATCGACATTACTCTTGAGTAAATTGTCTCTTAATTTCTGATCAGACGAACATAGTTGCTAGCATACATCGATGTCGATGTATGATTAAACATATATGTATGTGGTTATTTGCATGCGTGTAGGATCAGCTCACCGACAAAACATACGTATTCAATGGCGATGTGCATATTTATATGTATACATAGGTGTTTGCATTATGTACATGTACGCATATGTACAGTCCTTCTTGTACATGCCAACATCATGGACGAATAGTACATGGATCGCGTTTGCTCTGAAGATTTTTGTATAGTCTTAAATTTCCTTCTTACCATGTTTGCATTAGGCACGTTGTTCCGATAGAGAAACATGGATTTATATCCAAAGCGAAGAGTATCAATCGTAGTTCCCAGTCATGCACGAGCACTCGACGTATGTATAGTGTATGGTGTCTACCCAAAAGCGGGGTTTGGTGTTTTGTGCGGTAAAATGAGCCTATTTTGTATGTTAAGCTACAACCACAATGTGAAATAGATAAAGCATCAGCCCGCCAGATATACTAGCGATTATTGCCAGATACAATACCATGCCGTCACAGATTGTTCAAAAGAATCATTGCCTGTAGTGCACCAGCAAACAAACTGCATCTGAAAATTGGTGTGCCAGCATACGAACGTCTGTGTATTGTTTTAATCAGGCGTTGATACTCAATATAAACATCCACAAATTGAATCAGTGATATTATGTTGCACAAGCTGAGTGCTACCACCCAATTCCTAGGCAACGCACCCAACATTGTAGCATAGAACCCGACGGTTGGAAACTACAGCGTCGGAAGCCGACGTATCAGGTCGATTTACACTGACTGCCATATTGAACCCGAAAATTATATAGGTGGACAACAAGCAGTGCCGAACGTGTATATATTTCATCCACACTTTTGATAATCCAGAACAATCATACGAGATAAAACCCAATGATTAATTGGTTAGGATTAGATAAGGCTGAGAAGAGGGTGGTTATTTATTGGGTCAAGCACAGCGGGCTGAGCTGAGATGTCAAAAGATCCAAATATATTCATCTCAGTATCGTAGATGCAAACATGCGTGGAACCGTATGGCATAGACCTCAAAAACAAGCTTTACGACTAAAACAAAAGATTTTGTAAATTTCATGACAGTAAATACCAGCTGAAATTCTGATGTTGCAACTACAACTATGTAGTCATAATTTTTACTTCAAGGTATTAACTAATTGGCTTAAGAGTAATCGATGACAAGACAATAGACATCATGACAACAGTCTGGCCTGACTACTCACTCTGCAGTCTGCTGGCCATCACATGACGAGTTCGATTTTTATGTACAAAAATGAATGAATGAATGAATGATAAATAATTTTTGTTTTTGTTTTCTTGTGAGTAAAATTTTCATATTTAATTCGAGAGGGACAGACTGGTGAAAACAGAAAACTGAATACATGTTCCAAATGCAGGAGTAGATAAACATTTATTTCTCAGGAATATGAATTAGATCTCTGAAACTAGTTGGTTTGATTTTAAAAACTTAGATCTGTTTTGGGCTGGTTTTGTTGAAATAAAAACAATCTCTCTCTCTTGTCTATTGTTTTTTTATTAAAAAAAAACAATGTAGACGAAGGCTGTGCAGATAAGCATAAAAAAGATACAAAAAGTATAAAAACTTCCCCAAAAAACTAAAAGGAACTGAAGAGCCATGATGCTCCGCAACAAAAATGAAACAATAGTGGGAAATAAAGCACATTCACTTGCCTGTAATGTATTGAATTATTGATGCATGTAGTTCACTCATAGCTTACAGCAGCCTCGCGGCCGCAACTTGTCTTCAGTGACACTATAGGGCTATAAAACGTATATAACGAAACAACTTGTGCCATTCTCCATAAAACTGAAGCATAAAAACAAATCTGAACTGTACTAGTCTACCGATTATATCTGTACAACATACAAAACATTCCAAGATGGAGAGAGCTATGACATGCGCTGGGCTGTTGGTATTAGGTAGTGTCACGCTAGTTAACGCGGGAACGTTTAGGCATGCCGCATCAGAAGATAGTGACGGCACTACACATGCAGATATATTACGTATGAAAACACAAAGTCGTCAAGCCAGCTCATATGCCGGATTCTTAGAAGACACCTATATGTGGGATATGGCCACACTTGAAGCGAGGAAAAGGGTGTTTGAGGATACGAATGTCAATTCAAAGGATAAAGATGATATAGATAACGCGGTGAAGGAAGCGAAAAGACTTGGAGAAAAGTTTCTGGAGCGATGCCCATTTTCAATTATGTTGAAAGAAGATGGGTTTGATGGTCAGGACAAGAGTCTACATCAGTACGTGAGCTATAGCACATACTGGTGGCCTTGTAACTTTAATCCTTGTGGAAGTACACGCGCGGAGGCTCGGGAATACATAGCGACCAGTTACGAAGGTATGATATGCAAATATGCACACTTGGGAGGTGGATGTATAGCTTTATATATTCGTGTGTGGCGATTCTTTCAATTGGTAGGATATTTATATCGCCAAATACATGCATACCTACAGAGACATGCCCCACATATACACATAATCACACGCAAACAGACACGCGCATACATAACCACATACATGAACCTCTAATTTAAGGTGCTGTGTTAATAAGTATTGGAATTGGGATTTAAAAAATATAATCTGCTGTTGAACCCTCCCTAAGTATACAGTTGCTATTTTCTCAGATGCTCATACTATTCTGCATGTTGTACTCAATGATGCACGTGTCATCCTAGTGGCTACCAGTTCAACTCTGGATAATTCAAAATGTCTGCACGTGGAAAGAGATACATTCAAATCTTCAACATTATACAGGTTGTTCGCGTACACAAGATTGTGTTACCTGTACGATCATTTGTTTTACCTTTGAAAGAATACAAGTAGAAAAGTACATTCATACATGCCTTGGATTTGCTTCTGTCAGGTTAAGAATCACAATGGTAATCTTTCCTTTGCACTAAAAAAAACAGCTCAGCAAATGGATTTGGCTCTGGAAAATCTAAGCGCAGCAGAATTCGCCGAGAAGATCAACAAAAGTAATTTGTGGAATGGGAAATGGAGTTACCAAGCCTCGTACGACGAATGTGATCCCGAAACCGGATATCCGTTTGTCATGTATGTATAGTTCCATGCAACCCTGAAACCGGCTGTAATACACAAGTATGATATGCAAGTGAGTATTGAGTTTTGGAGTAGTTTTATTTATATATATACCCAGAATTCATAGTTGTAGTGTATAAACATCACTATTGACATCTATGTAAATTCATATTCAAACATACATACATAAACACATCCACCGATGCGATGGCAATAGTTTACCCTTTGTGACTGAGCCTACACCAATTGCTACCTGTTTATTGTGCCGCATGTTTATATACTATGCACAATAGTACATACAATCAATAGGTCTGCATTGCCATGATACTTGAAAGTAATGTACAAAATATTCACTACAATAGGACACATAACCGTTCGTTCATAATGAGATCGGGTCTCGGGCTACCGATTATAACAGTTGGCGGCTCATGAAACGATGTGTACATACCCTGTTCTCTATTACTTGCAC